CTACAACAGAAAGTGAGGACGACAGCGATGAGGAAGATGTGTGTCCGAGTTGGATGTGGCCATCTGAACCCATGGATGTCAATCCAACTACTATGGCTCCTGAGCAGGACTGGATCAATTTGAGACCGGATGCCCCTGAATTTGTGCCTCAAGCAAACGAGGATATGCCCATGGAAGATAATTCTGTACCTTCTCAAGTGGAAAGTCTCTTGCCAGAAACCTCAGTGCTAGAGGATGCTCCTGTTCAGCCAGTAGAAGAGGAAGCTGAATCCTCTCTGCCAACACTTCAAGTAGAAGAGGACTCCGCAGATGAGGGTCCATCAGGGCTTCTAGAATCAAGGTCCAAACGACCGGTGCGACCCCCTCAGAGACTCACTTATGACTCACCAGGGAATAGCACAGAGGAAGCTGTAACTACTGTGCGAAGATCACCCGAGGTGTCCACTTGAACACAGAAGTATCAAAGGACTTGTGTCCAACTCAGGCCATCAGCACACCTTGGTGGAGTGTCCCTTGACCCACCCCACTTGCTAGACGCTGTCATAAACTGCATCTATCTGCACGCAGTAAAGGTATTCAAGTTGTTTAGTATAAACTTTATATGTGCCTTTTATATTGTATATGCTGTCTGTAGAACCTACAAACGCAGTTTACCCTTTGGAGGGACCCAAAGACTTTAAGTAGGGGGAGAATGTAGGAACAGAACAGTTGTTTTACAGAAGGAAACAAAATGGACCTGAAATCTTCGAGCAATCTTATCACAGTGCAGATCTATGAATGTGCCCTAATATGGCAGATCTGGATCTTTTATTATTTAAGCTTGAAACCGCAAAATACAATTTTTCATTGCATAATGCTCCTACCTTTAAAACAGCCTCTGTAGTGAGAGTTAAGCTGGAGACAAGTGGCAAAGATGAAGACCCCAGGGTCGCATCAGAAGAACAATCCTTTTCCTTCTTTTCTGATTCCTTTGTCTGTTTAGGTTGTACGTTTCTGAAGATCTGGACAATTAGAAGGTTGATGGGGAACATCAGCAGGGAGCTCTCAAATCCGATCATGACCTCCTGCCAGGTGAACTCAATCTTACCTTTAATTATAGAATGCAACACCACAATGGATTACCAATCTTTTGACCCCCACACAGACCTGCTCTAGCCAAGACTGTGCACACAGAAACAGTCATATAGAGAGCCTTCCATGACTTTATAATGTCTGACAACAATGGCTCTAAATTAATATAACTTTATCTTTAATTGATTTTAAATGAATATAATAATATATAATAATATAATAACTTTATCAAAAATGTCTTGTCATTGACCCCAGCTAACATTTAGAATAAATCCAGCCTTAAAATGTTCAAAAGACTAAATGTTACCTACTTATGTTCTAGTCAAACTTTTCATACACCACAAAACAATTTTTGTCTACAGCAAACACAATCTGAGAGCTGGTACGTAAACCTCTGATTACCCAAGTCCATCTTCTGCTCGGCCGGGTCTGAGGGCACTCCCCAGAACATAATGCTGGTCAACATGGTGCACAGCAGCAGGGAGAAGCAACAGGACACTCTCTGCACCCTGGTGAAAGGGCTTCTGGGAGAGCGGTTGAAGACAGAGTACCAGATATGACCATCACGGAACCCTTTGGATGTTTTCATGAAGAACAAGTTGCTGTAACAATATGATGGAGACTTATCATATACAGCGTATATCTTTCACATTAACACTATAGTGAATGTTCAATTCAATAGAATGTGAATTCAGATTAGCTGTGTATGATAATGCAGTGCATTTTACACTCTGCTTCTGCATTAAGTGAAGTAATACAAGTACCTGAATTGTTTCATATCCTCTTCTGTGGCTACAGTGAACATTTTATCCAATACACAGTCTCCAACCTCAACAGAAAGCCAGGAGTTACAGAGGAAATACCACTTCCGATCTATTTCCAAGTCATGCACCAAGACCCTGTTCACATACCTGTAAGGGAGAAATCAGGAGATGAGTTTGGGAACTGGTAGTTTTACATGTTTTGCTTACACAGGAAAAATGCCTAATTCTGATACCAGTGGCATCAAATAAATTTTTTTTTTCTCCAAGCACATCAGCACAGATGCCCTCATCTAATGTGCTTTACTCTGCAGTGCTTAATCCTCAAAGGAAGTGCAGAAATAGGTCTTTGAAGTGAAATGCATTAGCGGAAGAAGTCTGTACAGGATGTGCTGAGAGAAAAAAAAAAAGCCTTTGATAAGACAGGTGTTGGAGTGCAGCATTTTTTTTACCTTCAAGGGTGAAAACACGGAGCATAATTTTTTCTTAATTCATTTATCTCCACACTTCCCTAGTTTTCTTAAAATAAATGTCTTAATCTATGCTGCAGTGTCTATTATTAGTGATGATGATAGATAAAAGCCGTGAGTGTGTAGCCCAGTGCTCCCAGTGTTCTCAAACTAAATACGTGCTATGTGTATAAAACGTATCTAAACCATCAAAAAAAATTGTCACAAGTGATACACTGACATTGTAACAATTATAATCTGCTGTAACCATATATACAAGTACAAATAAAACTGCATGTTATGAAAAAGAGTCCCTCGTCTTCCAAAACAGTGTCCTTGGAAATAAAGTGCCAAGTGCAAGATGTGCTTAAACAATTTTCAAATACTCCTGTTTTCCACCAATTTGTGAATTGTTCACCACAGTGCACACCATAATGGATAAGCACTCACTGGCTGATTTTGACCACTTTTTTTTAAATTGGTCAAAACCTGTGTTTTAGCAACAGCAATTCAGCAAAAATAAGGGAGAAGAAACTCGCATAGCCAGGGCAATCCCTATAATGAGCCAGCCTGAAGTGGTTGCTTCAGGCAGTATCTCACTAGGTCACGTGGGGGTGGAATGTCCAGAGCATCCCAGGTTGCTAAAAGCTCTTAGCAGCCTGTGACGCTCTGGCTGGCGTCCCACGCAGCTCCTGGCAACCAGTGACGTCAGCTGAGCTGAGCGGGATGGCGGAAAGAGCCACCAGATCTAGAGGCAACAGGCATCCACTGGCAGAACATCCACCTGGTAACGAGCATCCACTGCCAATAGACAGCGAATAGTGTAAGGACAACCCTGTGCATAGCATAAAACATTTTAAAACATTATTAAAGAGTAATATAAAAAGAGACTCACATTCCCATGTGCCATACAGCACTTTTTAACAAATGCTTTATTAAACATCGCTACTTTTGTGCATCAGGAGCACTGACATTTCTGGATGGACGTGATGGTGTCACAGACTGCTCCCACTCAACATGTTTCAAAATACTTCCTCATAAGTGGAGGCCATTTCTGAGGATGTCGCACTTTGATGAAACACATTGAGTGGGAGCAGTTTGTGATGCCATGAAGTCCATTATAACTTGATGGACTTTTCCAGACTGACTTGTGCTAACTTAATTCGAATTGGACACCCAGACCGAAGATGGGTCCAGTGAAACAATGTCAGATAAATCACCCTCAAGTCCAAGATATAGATCAGAAGCTTGTATTTCTCCAGAAAGAACCCTGCACAGAGAGATGATACCAGGGACCGCCCCATCCCACAAGACTGGCGTCCGTCGCGACAATCTTCCAAGTTATGGGAAGAAACGACTTTCCCACTGTCATCGCAGGAGATGTCAACCACCACAACAGAAACATCCTGGCCAGGACACTCAATCTGAACATCTGTTTTCCAGCGATAGAGGAGACTTGTCTCCCTCTGCAAGAATGTTCCTTTGTAAAGTCCTGGAATGGAACTGAGCAAAAGGTACCACTTCAAAGGTTGACACCATCAATCCCCGTATTCTCATTCAGGTTCTCAGAGAGAAATGGCGATGTGATTGGAGCGACTGAACCTAATCCCACAAGTTCAATATTTTGTTCTGAGGAAGGAACACTTTTGCTGGTACCCAACAGAAGACCCAAATACTCCCAGCAATATGATTGAACAAGGAACAACTTCTCAATGTTCATAATCCACCCAAAGTCCTCTAATGTCCGCAGCACCATCTAGACATTAAGCTCCAAAGTAGGAAGAGACTGTTCTCAAATTAAAAGGTCATCTACGTATCCAATAATCGGAATGCCCTGGAAAACTAAAAGAATCCCAGAACTGAAGCATGAACTTTTGTTAAAAACCATTGGAGCCAAAGTCAACCCAAAGGGAAGAGCCACAAATTGATAATGAAGCACAACAAAGGAAACGCTAATGCGGTAAAAATCCAGGAATGTGTAGCTACACATCCTAAATTTCTATGGAAACCAAAAAATCTCCTTGTCTAAGAGAGATGACAACTAAATGAATGGATTGCATCTTAACTTTATGAATATGTACAAATCTAAAATTAGACTGGTTTAAGTAAAAACCTTGAAAACGTTCTGCCAAAGGAACGGGAATATTAATGCTTCCTTCAGACCTTGAACTGCGCAAAAACGTTCATCCAGCGCTGCTGAGACATGCAAAGCTGGAACGCAAAGAACCGAGGAGGAGGTGGAAGACTGAAAATAGAATATCCCACCTCTCCATAAATTCCATTAGGCTCCCCCCACACCAGATATAGAAAAGGTGGGAGCAGACATTATGCTAAAGGATACATTTTAATGGCCAAGGGCGTCTAGAGGGTACAAAGGTTTGGAAGTGTAAGACATCTTTTGAAACTGGGAACTAAAGAAACGCATAAAAGATGGAAAAGACGGGGCAGGTTTACAATGCTGATCCCTATTTTTCCACATTTGAGGTAAGCATTCAGTTTTACCTCCGGCAGCTTTTCTAATAATCTAATTCAAGGTAGCTTCAAAAAGACAACCTCTCACGGATGGTAAATGCAAAAGTCCCTTTTTGCATTGGGGTTCTGCCGATCAGCACTTCAAGCCAGACAGCTCTGCGTATCGGAATGGAAGAGAGAGACACACAAGGCAACACACAACAAGCATGAAGAAACGCATTACATATGAAATGAGAATCAAGACATCTGATCCACACAATCAATAAAATGTGGATCAACTCCAGCTGTCGCCTGTTCTGTACTTGAAGATTTTATTCAAGTAGTCAAACTCTTGGAAATAAGGGCTGCAACCAATAATAGTTAAAGAACCGAACCAGTTAATGAATAAATGGTACAAAAAAGATTCTACAATTTTTGAACAAAATCATCCGGAAAAAAATACAGAGACTAAAAGCATCTAGGAACCAGAAATTGCTTATTTACGATTTACCAATCTTTTTATAAAAAGCAATAAAAAAATAGGATAAAGATGAAAAACCTTGCATACACGCCCAGGTTTATGTCAACCTAAATCACAGAAGTAAAAATAAAAGCAGAATCTCTGATTGTAAAGAGGAAAGCACAGCCTCAATTAAGAAGGCAACATTTCTTTCTGATGCTGAGTCTAAGTACTATGTTCCTTAATCAAGGAAGGAAAGAGTGCGCGCCCCAGGCACCTAGATAAGTGTCACCAATATATGGCGGCTGTGTAACTTTCAAGAGCGCTGCTCCTTACTGAGTGAAAACTACATTATCAGTATTCAGGGAGAAGGAGGAGGAGAGAAATAAACATTAACAGTTTTTCCCGGTAATTCTGAGCAGACATAAAGAGGAGAGTTCCTCCATGTTGCCAACTTGTGAATTATATAAAGTATAGCAAGCACAGGTCACATAGAAACACCTCAGAGGCCTTGTAATGTAGAGGCCACTTGTGCCTGGAAGAACCAGAAATATCAGTGACACCAATGTAAAACACAAATGTCACAAGTTTCTGAATAAAACCAGTAGTAAGACACAGAGATGGAAAGGAAAAATTCCTACAACAGGAATCCCTAGGAAATACTGACCTGACCGTTAAATGATAAAAACAGAAACACAGGAACACCGCAGGATGAAGCATAAGTACTGAGGCCAGAAACAGCCTGGTTTATGACAACTAGAGAAACTTTCAGGATTTAACTTATCCGGCATGAATTTCTCAGTTTTGTTGGCTAGCTAGCAGACATCCCAACCTGACAAAACTCATTTCAGGGAGGTGCCCTTCCCATTTCAGGGAGGTGCCCTCTCTCCCATCCCCCCCTATCTGCGGGGGGAAGGAGGGGATGGGGGAGAAGACACCTCCCTGAAATGATGGCAGATAGCAGAGGAGCTAATGCTTCCCCTGCTTTCTGCTTTTTTTTTATTCTGACAGCGTTATGTTCAATCAAAATAAACTATTTTTGCTCATATTGCCATCTAGAAATGCCACACTTACCATGACGGCTTGTCTCCAGAGTTGTCATGCCAAAGTCGAATGCTCTGTACCTCCCCAAGTGGAAACAGAGTTGTGAGCAGGAAAACATCAGACCCTCCACGTTCAAATACAGCCCCATCTGAATCATAGAGATGGTGAGGCTCACTTTCACCATCAGATCCATATAGCGTCACAGTTACCTACAAGAAAGAACTTCTATATTTTAAACAAAAGATTAATCTAAACCAATCATTTTGTTTTGGGTGGAAGTACGTAGATAGAGAATCTTATCTGCAAATTTAAACCGAGGTTTGCAGACATGATTTCAGGATCTACCATGATAATTATGGCCACTCGCTTCTCTCCCTGCTTGTGCTATCAGTAATTGGAAAAGTTGGGCAGCATTTCTTTAAAGTGCCAGAGTCTGGGTGACTCTATAGTCTGCCTTGTTTCCTACTGAAACCCATCCATTTCCTTACTACATATCCATCAGCGCAGAAACGCTGCACTGCTGCTACACAGCTTTATTTTACTGCATACCTAACACCACTCGGAGGTCCCACACCACACTCCAACCATGGATGTTAGCCACACTTTTATGTTAGCCCATTTGCAAAAAGAACAAATGTAGAGCTGCACACTACATCATCCTCCGCATACAAAACTGTATTGTGCACAGAGACACTCCACCTGTTCCTGTATGGCTCTTTGCTTGTTTCTGCTGTTACATAGTCATTCAGAAGGTGTAGAAATGGTTTTCCTGTACGCAGGAGGCAGACATAACTCGTAAATGTGCCAGTTCATGTATTTATTGCATGGCACATTGGAGAGTAGACACTATGTCATCATTCCATTAAATGAGACTCTTTTTGGCAAACTTTAACAAAATAAGGAGGTTTTCAGATTCTGACACCAGCTTTCGACTACTTGATATATAGACCTAGTGCCCAACCTGTTGCCTGGGGGCCCCATTCAGCCCTTTGGCATTGATAGCCATCAGAAGTCAATATGTTCCTTAGCTAGAAAAATATGTCTCTAGAATATTTCTCTTCTAAAGTATATTCTTTAGACCAGGGGCGCCCACTATTTTTCGTCTGGAGATCTACTTTTCAAATGACGAGCAGGACTGGTAGATCTCGATCGACTGGTAGATCGCGATCGACCTTGTGGGCACCCCTGCTTTAGACTGTGTTCTAACAGTTAAATTGTTTGCATTATTTTTTCCAGTGCTGTTCATTCCTTTTCTCCTTTTATGTTTTTTTTCCTTTAATCTTTTATAATGGATTCGCTGAGAAAAATATCAAATGTGGCACAAGTAATTTTTGAGGGGCACAAATATGGAGGCATTCATTTGTAAAGGGGATGTAATAGCAGTGATCTCTCACAGTCTCATATAATGTGACTCCAATATATAACAGTCTCCTGAAGCATGTCCCCAGTCTCCAACAACTCTCAGAGCACATGCACAGTCTCTGACCATCACCTGCAGCATGTATGCAGTTTTTGACCATCCCCTGTAGCATGCCTCCAAATCTCTTACCATCTCCTGTTACATGTCTGCAGTCTCTGACAGCTTTAGGTAGCATTACATTAACTGAACAATATGTGCAGCCCTGTGAACATGTTAGAAGCAACACTTGAGGCCCCCCTTCCCTCCATATCAACAATGTTGAACCCCACCCTTCTATACAGTCTTAGTTTTGCAAATCTGAAATGGGAGATGGTGGATAAATTAATTTTTTTGTAGATTTATTATCTTCAGCACATACCCTGGAGGTAGTAGCAGCTCCTCTGCGGTGACCAGTAAAAATTGTGACTAAGTAGCGATACTGGGCAAATGAATCATTATCTTCAAGAGCTATAACTTTCACCTAGGTCAAAGACACAATAAGAATGTGACAAAATGAATGTCTTTATTGCAGAGGAAATCATGACAAACAACCACTAGATACATCATTAACTTACCTTAGCATTATCTTGGATGTCTTTTCTCCTGGCCCAAATTAGCACCATAATATAAACAGCAGCAATGCAGCCAACGGTGGTCACCACTACAGGATTGTCCACAAACGTTGCAAAAAGTTCAATTGTCCTGCTCACATCAACAACATTGGGCATAATAATAAACGAGCTGCCAAAAAAGGTCAAATGAGTACAAAGACATTGGGTACTGTGGGGTGTTGTCTTGGGTCCCACCTGGAAAAGAGACTTGGTAATAGATTTTGATAAAGCAAAACGTATTAATTAACCAATATCAATGGCAGCCTAGTAGTTGTCACATTTTACTAATGGAAATTCAGCTCCAGGACTGCCTGGCCATCATTGAGCATGAAATGCTATTAGCCATTATAATAAATTATAGGTGATCTTATAATCAGCAGTGTTAGTGAAATTCTCAGTGCAGGACTGGTCATTTTTGGTGTCAATACTTTTCAAGTTGCATGAGGTATGTATGCTACAACATGGGTTATTTTAATGTTAGGGATCAGATTAGGTTTATATGAGGTTCACCTTATAACCTGACAGAGATGCTAATCCTTCCTCACTGCATTCAACTCTCAAAAAAAACCTGACTAGAGTTAGTGTGATGGTTAAATGTTAAAGACAGGTTAAGTTTAATGGTTATGGTTAAGTGTTGGAGAAAAGGTTAACATTCTGTTCTATATTCTTGGTAGGGGGATGGTTAAATGCTAACTGCTTTATTTTTTTACAAAATTTCAGTACCTAAAGGCCTGTGCCAAAAAATATTTATGGGATTTTGCCACTGAAAACAAATAATTTTACTAGTGAATGAGGAAAGACTGAAAGGGAAAATTTTAATGGTAGCTGCAAGTGACAACAACAGTACATGAGACATTTTGAACATGAGCAGTACGGGTTTAACAAATGTTTAAATGATTAAGCTATTGTATAGCGGTGTCACTATGCCCTGGCACTTGGGGCACTTGTCTCCAGTTTTCTGCCAGGCACTTGGGGCGCTTGTCTTTGGTCTCATGCCTCGGATTTAGTCCTGTGGATTTCCATCTCTTGATGGAAATTAGGGTCTCTGTCCTGATTAGGGTCCCTGTCCTGATATAAGGGGGCTCTTGCGACTCTGATGTAAGGGGTAACTCTGGGGACTCCGCCCTTACATCAGAGTCCCGAGGGTTCCCCCTTACATGATGAAGTTGATCTAGATAAAATGTGAAAAATAGCCCTGAAATAACTTTGATAAAAAAATAAATACTAGAGATTGATAAAAGTTAAATGTTTTTATGCTGGTTTAAAGTGCATTAAGCATGAGCAGATGGAAAGACACACAAAAGCACCTAAAGAGGTTGCCAGATTTGGCTACCAAGACACTGGCCAGGAAGCTGACATACAGTAAATTATTATTATTATTATACAGGATTTATATAGCGCCAACAGTTTGCGCAGCTCTTTACAATATAAGGAAGACATTACAATCACAATAGAATTCAAGACAAGATGGTAAGGAGGGCCCTGCCCCTGAGGGTTTACAATCTAAAAGGGAGGGGGAAGTGATACATGAGGAGGGAGCTGTGTGGGGATGAATTGTTTGAGAATGTGATATTTGAGTTGTTAGGTTGAGGTGGGATAGGCTTCCCTGAAGAGATGAGACTTAACGGATTGCCTAAAGGTAGTCAGAGTGGGAGCCAGACGGACAGGTTGGGGTAAAGAGTTCCAGAGGATGGGAGAGACTCTAGTGAAGTCCTGGAAGCGAGCATGGGAGGAGTTGACAAGGGAGCTGGAAAGCAGAAGGTCTTTTGAAGAGCGGAGGGGATGGTTAGGGTGATACTTTGAGACAAGGTTTGAGATATAGCCGGGGGCAGAGTTGTGGATGGCTTTGTAAGTCATTGTTAATATTTTGAATTTTTTTCCTTTGGGCTATTGGAAGCCAGTGCAGGGATCGGCAGAGGGGGGTTGCAGACACTGAGCGGTTGGCTAGGTGAATGAGTCTAGCAGCATCATTCATGATAGACTGAAGGGGGGATAGCCTGTGTAGTGGAAGGCCAATGAGGATGGAGTTGCAATAGTCAAGACGAGATATAACAAGGGAGTGGATGAGTAATTTTGCAGGTTCATTGGTGAGGAAGGGGCGTATTTTGTAGATGTTGCGAAGGTGAAGGTGGCAGGATTTGGATAGTGATTGGATGTGGGGAAGAAAGTTGAGGTCCGAGTCAAGGATGACACCTAGCACCTTGACATGGGGGGAGGGTTGGATAGTTGTGTTAATAATCTCAAGGGAAATGTGGGAAGGTGCATGGGCAGGAGGAAATATCATGAGCTCAGTTTTTGAAAGGTTGAGTTTTAAGAAGTGCTGTGAAATCCAGACGGATATGTCGGATAGTAGATTAGTGGCACGCAAGGACACTGAGGGGGTGAGTTGTGGAGTAGAAAGATAGATTTGAGTATCATAGGGCATAGAGATGGTATTGGAAGCCATGTGAGGTTATTAACTGACCAAGGGAGGAGGTGTAGATGGAGAAGAGGAGGGGGACAGAGCTACTTACATGACATCCAGTGTGGTTCCAGCTCTGGTTGATCTCATCCCAGAACACACACTGGGAGGTGAAACATGTGACTGACACAGATATGTAATTTCCATTAAATATGTTATCTTCCACATCTGGCCTCAGTGTCAAGTAATATGCTCCTTCCCCAAACAGCTCTTCTGGATTTATGACCGAGGAATACACATTTTCTTTGGAAAGAATCAAAATGAAGTATTAAAATATATACTTAGACATGCTGAACCTATTATAATGTGAAAGCTGTGTGTGTGCTTTTTTGCAGGAAGTGCAGCTATGCTCATACATAGGACTGGCCTTAGATTATATGCAAAGGTTTAGTATGTCTCTCTCAATGCCTCAATGCTCATTATAACAACAATAATTTGTAACTAACTAAACCTAACTGTGGTATTATGGGATGTAGTTAAAATATACACCCTTACCTCCAGGGTATTTTCCATTAGGCAGATGGAAATTGATGTCATAGTTGGTTTCATTTGGGTGATACTCGTACCCCAGGTATAGCACCAGAGGAATGTGCTCACTGGGTTCCACATAAATCACAAGAGGAAGACTGGCTGATGTCACATTTACCAGAACAGATGTTAAATTAGCCAGATAGAAAAGAGTTTTCACTTCGTCATCAGCAGAATCCCGGGGTAACAATATCTGTGTATCAAATATATATTGTTATTATTCTTACCATCTGTGCTTTCTCACATAGAAACAAAATAATAAGTGTACCTTGTACTGAATTCTATACAACCGTGGTAAAATGTTGCCTTATAACGCGCTTTTCCACTTTAGCTGTCCATTTTGAGAAAACCCCCCTATATGTTTGTTATGTGTTCCCATTCATACAACATACCTAAAAATAAATTGAAAAATATGTTTCTTACCTGTTAGTTGTTTCTTAGAATTGGGCCTTCAAGCAGGCTGCGAGCTACTATGAACAATTGTAAAGTGAAAGAAAACTGTCTGTCCCCATAGAAAGAATATGGATAGACAGAGCTTCTTCTGATTAACATACAAAGTGCCTAAATTTTTAACCCTTTGTTAGGACAGACATTGTTCAAATGTAATTTACAACTGATAATGAGATCTGCTAGCACAGTACAGACGGGGTTAATTTTGTTAAACACTACATTCCCATTCCCCTTGCATTCAAGAGGAAATTTCAGTTTAGAGAAAAACCTTTCTTTCAGAAAAGAGCAAGTACAATGTAATCAGCAATTTTTTAAGTTAAAGTTATGCTATGTGAATGAGATGTAACAAATATAAAATATGCGATGCGATATCCTAATTTGGCTGCAAAAGTGGAAATGCACTTTAAAGAATACTACCATCTTTCCACACTCTGCAGCAAACCCTTTAAATGGAGAACTCTTATAAATCCAACATGTATATTTCTCAGACAAAGATAAATCAGCAGCAATGTCATTTTAGACTATCAAATCCAGATGCTGTAATGATCCACATTCACCAAACTCACTTTCCCCATTCTATATTGCACCTAAAGTAGAACTAAACTCTCACAAGAGAGTACTTAGCTGTGTGAAGCACAAAAAATTAAAACAGGATTGCATATTTTTTTAGTAAAATGTTGTATCCTTACTTTGTGCATATCCTCTCTCCCGAAGCAGTACACATCTTGTAGACCCATTGTATGAACTTTTTGTGAACATATGCATGTTCCGTCAGTGGCTAAATGTCTCAGTTTTATTGCAGTGACTACAACAGAGTGTGCCAGTGCACTGTGCATTGCCATGGCTGTTTGTAGTCCAACTCATGAATACACAGGAAAGGATGACAACTCCACAGCTCAGTTAAGCAAGCATTGTCACCAGAGGCGTAACTAGAACCCTCAGGGCCCCGGTGCAAGAAAACCATAAAGGGCAAATATTAAACATTTTAACATTACAGGAACATGTGTCACTAAAAGTTAGGTTTAAGTGTCAGGGTTTAGGTACTTTTTAATTCTCCTAGGTTCAAAGCTTTATAATCTTCACATGGGAGAATCATAAGTAAAAACCTGGAAGATTTGGACTGGGCGCATATTTGGAAACTGTTACCTGCATTACCTACAGTACATGGTGGACTGCGAATAATACTTTAATACAATCATTCATCATAATCTGCATACAAACCATCAGAAAAACATTTTAATAGAATAATAACCAACCTTTCAAAAATGGTGTATGGTGGCAGCTAAACAAAGCATAGCCAGGACATGGAAATTACTTGTTTTTCAGTTTCAAGAAATGGAAAGAATTATGAACAAAAGCAAATGCATGTCTTTATGAAATAATAATTCCTGAGGACCGTAATACAATGGAGTGAATACATTACTTTCTTATACTAATCTTACTCTTGGTTTCCAATTTTCTCAGTTTTTTGCACTTCATTCTCTTCTTGGACTTTGCCTAATAATCCCATGGTACATACAACAGACAAGGATCTGTCGGACATGAATACATTTTATCATACATTTCTCAGCTGTAACAACATTTAATTATACAACAGGTATCCATTTGTTTTGATGTCTGCATTTTTAATCCATCCTTAGCAGTACCATCCAAATTCACACTAGGGTGACATATAGGCTACGCTAATCCTTTTACCAAGAAGACACTGAATATATGGAAGGAAGGTTATTTTTACCTCTATACATTCTGTAAGGTCCTTTATAGGGATGGTGGACCCATTGGTGCTGGTAAGGCTCAGACCTCCTACTGAACCAGTAATTTCAAAAGTGTCACTTGAGGAAAATGGGTTGACTGAAAAACTCACCATCTGCAAATTAAAATAAATGGTATAAAAAGCTCTTAAATATTTCTGAAATCATGTTATTGTGCTTTTACCTTACAGTTCCACTAGATGGCAAACTGTTCAAACAGATTGGCTAACTTTTTAAATGCTTCTTGAAATGTTATCATAGTATTTTAGGATTAGTTCACCTTTCTGCACATTTTCCAAAATATTCCCCATGCTTTCCATTAACCCCAGCACATTACAAAGACTGTTCAGGCGTTAAAAAGCTGTCCCTTTCCTATTCCATGCTGCTAGAGGGAATGAGAGCGCACTGCACATGGATACAGCTTAAACGAGCCAGGAACAGATGATGGAGACTCACTTCTAATGTCTGGCCTGTCCTGCCATTTAACAAGGATGGAAAGGGGGTTGACCACCGACAGGTTTCAGCCGAAAGGCCATGTATTACCAACAGGTATGCAGTGGGAAAGGGGCAGCTTTTTTAACCTCCGAACAGTGCTTTGCAATGTGCTAGAGATGGAGAAAAGCATGTTTTTTGGGGGTGAAATGTGCAGATAGATAAACTGTCAGCACTGGTCTTTACAGGTTAGTGTGAGACAGGTTGGTATTGCCACAGCGATAAGGGCAATACGTGTGCAGGCCTCCAACTATTGACACTAACCCATATGCACCAGTGAGGTACTGTACCTTTGATTCCGGGTGAGGCATTCCCCAGCCTCGCCCCTAGCATGTCCTGCCCCGCCCACAGCCCACCGAAGCACCACCCCCAGCCCGGTACCCCAAGTTAGTGTGAAGGAGGGAGGGAGGAGGAAGGGAGGAGGCAGGGAGGAGCCTCCCTGTCCCTCACTTGCTCGTCACTGCTGAGGCATCGATATCGATGGCCTCAATGGGTTTTGTTTTCTTTTTTTTGATTGGACAGCTTGGACAAATGGCGCTTTGCTATTGATCCAAGCCATCCACAGAGCTCACGTCTCTAACAAAGTGTAGATGCTGTGATAGCTCTTGCCTCACTACTTAGGTTACACAAGCAGTGGGGAAGCCCGCTGCTGACACCTGGCTATTGATATATGGTTTAAACTATTTATGAAGAAGGTGGAATGTCATTATTTCTGATTAAAACAAAAATTACTAGATCAGTTAGACCGACATATTTTGTAGATTTTAAAAAAATGAATCAGGTCTGGGTATGAAGAGGCCTATCAGCAAAAGTCACGGCAACTCAGTATCCATAAGTATAATGTGTAAGCCATAATGTTTATGGCTTGGCATTATTGTGCAGCTATATCATTGACATTATACTTGCCCGAAGATCCAGTGGCTCATCTCTTTCTAGGGGAAAATTCATAGATGTGATGGACGGGAGTTTAAATGCTGCTATGTTGACACCGTGGACATTCACAGAGGTACTCCCCACTTGGTCTGAATGCAACCTACCACACAAAGATTGCAGATATATCATTGTTAGTCACAGCTTCAGAGATACAGCTAAGTACACACAGATAAAACACACATATTGCAATTGTTAAAACTGTGAAAAGATTTGTGCAGTAATATAGTACGCCTATGTAAGGTTGCTAAATTTCTAGAATGTCTTATTCTATACAAAGTTAGTGAATTACTAAACACAGATATAATCGAAGGATAATTATTTTCTGATATCTGGTCCATTCATAGAATATTGCACAAATAATAGACAGGTAGCCTTCTATAAATGTTCAGAACTCATTCAGGGGGCAATAGAAAACAATCATACCTTGACCATATACACTGGGAGATCATTGTATCAGTTTGCTGCGCCTTGTGGGAGCCTTGTGTGCTACCTACTACTCCTTTATACTGGTTTTAAATGTATTAATGCAATGGCTTTAATAAGGTATTGGATTGCCATGGAATGTCATAAGAGAGCAGTTTTCACTATTTCTTCTTTATAGGGAGATGTGCACATGGGCCAGTTATCTTGGTTGCTACAATAATTGTGTGTGGGCGGGGGAGGGGGGCATACCGTGCAAATCTGTAATGTTATCATTAATATATAAATTCTTCTAATGTAACATTTCCTCCACAACTATAGATATCCAACTGTAAAACTATAACTGCCACGTGCTATTTAGAATACTGAACAGCTTCAACCATGAGCTGGAGGTATTAATGGACTCACCTGTTTATATACATGGTAGCTGATGGAGCCACCAGCACTGTAGGCTCGTTCACTGGAAGCTTTCCTTTAAGTAAAGCACTCTGCAGGTTCTCCACCGCACTCAGTAAGGTCTGTGAGACTTCACTCTGCATGGCAAAATCTTATTGTTAGGCTGCACATCTTGTAGGCAAAATCATTTTCTATCTATAGAGAATATTTAGGTTGCTCTAAAAACTGATCTTTCATATCAATTTTAAGAAACAATATATTTGACTTACTTTTGGCAACAGGCTACAGTTTTGTCCAGGACATTGATTCAGTAGTTAACATATACTGTAAATTAAGCTTATTCTATAACTGGATGTCCAATCTGAAAGGGTGATAATGATGGATAAGAAAATGGGTGGCCATATATGACTACATCTGTCACTGAGAATGACAGAGGGAGGGAGTTTTGTCTGTTATTACTTTTATCTCTGATACAAGCTGTAAAAGGACATTCTCTATTCTTTGGACAAAAGGGGGACACCCTCTATGGAGCTGCAGAAAATAGTAGATGGGTTCCCTGTCTTTCCTCTGTGATAGACCTCAGTCACTGGAGCCACAGCACACCTTGTGAGGTTTATTAGGAGTTTTACTGACAAGTCATATATCAATATAATAAAAGATATGATAGAAGGGATAACAGTACACAACAGCATAAAATAATGTCTCCTTTAATACTTCGGTGGGAATATACCACAACTATCTAAATAACACATTAAACAAGGTTATATTGACTGACGTAATCCCACTGACTGCTAGTAGACTGCAACTTCACACACTAGTCCCAATAGACCCGGGTCTCTAACCCACTGGCCAATGGTGTTTTTCTTCGGCTAGCCAATGATGGGGCCCAAAGGGCAATTGGTGAGATAATCTGACGAGCAGTAGTACAGTGGCCAGAGGCATCTCCCCCCTTATTGTAACGGCGGTGACGACTTCTGGGTTGGTCAGTGACTCAGTCCTCTCAGGTTGTGGTCAGCGTCTCTGGACGCTGGCAGCTGATGAAATGCTCGCCGCACACTGTCATTCTAAACAATCTCTGTGCGCACTAATGAGGACTTCAGAAACTCGCATGTGATAGGGTCTTGTTACTACTTTGCCATGTCATCATCTTTTGGGAAGTGTAGTATATATAGTCTCCCCTAGTTGCTGCTAGTGGGCTGTTACTATAAATTTTTGACCATGGGAAGTAGTGCAATCCGATCTGGCAAGCCTTCATGTAAAGCAGACATATACAAAGAGGCTCTTACCTATAGGGAGGCCATATAGGCCATGGGTCTGCAGTTAAAGACCTTGGGCCATTTCTGTTAAAAGCATGTTTATGGGGTCCTCAAGCGTCTGTCTTAAATATGTGCAAGATTTTTTAAAATAAAATGATGACCCGTGTGTAGCCACACCTTTTGGTCTGCATGTCATAGTTGGTCAGGTGTGGGCAACTCCAGATTTTTTTCATCCAGTGCTTTGTGTGTTAGTCATAGGGCTGAATGGTGGGCACAAACATAGCACACCCTCCAATGATGCCAAATAATGCACCGAATACAAATTGTTCTGGCTGTCTGGTTTAGAAAATCAGCTAACATATATAATGTCAGACACTCCCAGCTTCCAAATAGTTATACTTTGCTCTGTGATGAACCTTATGTAAGCATATCAGATGGTATTTAAGCACCGACAATTTGGCACATTATAAACTTAAAAACTTTTACTGCAATCTGTGATAAGTGTTATTGTCACTAGTATCTCTATGATACTATTTATCGCTGTGATACCATGGTATTTATTATCACCATTATACTATAACTTTTGCCTGAAGTATTTGAATCGATTTCGTAGTTAGGTTTCAGTAGAGTGTGTAGCTCAGTGTTTAGCTCAGTTGTTAGGTTGAGATTAAAGCTCAGAAGAAGGTGAGGTGACTATTATGTTTTTAAGAATACTAAAAAAAGTGGTTAAATATAGTCAAAAATTTATGTTTTACAATTTGTGGCAAAAAATACCTTGTTTTAAACAATCAAGCTATTTTTTTAGAATCAGAAAAGTGACAATTTTGCTCCATCAGTTAAAATCCGTCTAGTTTAGTGCAGGTTGATATACTGGTCCAAACACACCAAACAATAAAGTATTGGTCCTATGACGAAACTGTGGCTTTATAACACACTTAAGGTACCCATATACAAAAGATGTCACAAATTCGTGTTACAGACATTATCATACATGAGCTGTGAATCAATATGTCTGCACTGCTTCTCAGCCAACGGAGACAGTAAAACTTTTTTTTTTCTTATATGTACCCCTTATGCTATTCTTTTTGGAGCACAATTATGTTAGAAAAACTACCACTGGAAAATAGTCACTAAGTGGGGATTGGGTCTTGACATGCAAAACCAAGACTCTAAATTGCTCTTGCTATAAATTGGCAACCGGGAGATTTGCCAAAATATTAAATGCAAAAGCAATTTAATCAGGTGTGTCAAAGCCACTTCTCAAAGCTAGAAAGGAACTACAGTAAAAAAAAAAACAGCAAGCAAAAAGCACTGCTATTACAATGGAACTGAACTTAAAAAGTAAAGATTTGATATGTTATAGGGGAAATTTAGAAAATATGATTTTTGTACTCACTGTAAAATCCTTTTCTTGGAGTCTATCCAGGGACATAGGAATTCTTAGAATTCTTAGACTGTCGGGTTATACTACCACCTACAGGAGAAACGGACACTGGCAACAAAAACGTCAGTAGCCAGCACAGGATAACCCCACCTACAACCATCTTGCCTCAGTTTTGTAGTATAGTACCGAGAGCATGAAAGAAACACTAAGGGGAGGGGGTCCCTCAACGGACTCAAAGAAAAGGATTTTACAGTGAGACCAACAATTCTATTTTCTTTATTGTTCATTGAGGGGCACAAGCATTCTTGGACTGTCGGAGCATCCAAAAGCAGTTCGACAGAGTGGTGGCGACATAGCAAGAAAGGCTTACAGGCCCAAGAAAAGACAGAAGAAAACTGGGGACTCAAAGAGCTGCATGAAAGACCTAATGCCCAAAGCTAGCATCAGATGAGGTTTGAATAAATACCTGGTAAAACAAAAGAAAGAAAAGTAGACCAGTTTGTAGACTTGCAAACTGGGAAAGGTTACTTGATGCCAAAATGCGCACAAAGCACTCAAAGAGCTAGTAGAATGCACCTTTATAGTATATGGTAGAACCTGATTTGTAAAAACCATAAGTTTTTATCAAAAAATACCTAGGCAAGGAGGAAGTCCTGGATCTCGTCAATTCAGACACTTGCCTAATAGAGGTGATGGCTACAAGAAACACTGCCTTGTGGTTCAGAATAGAGAGAGGAATGTCTCTGATGGGTTTGCACACTGATCTTTAACACACAGAGAGAACCAGATTCAGATGCCATGTAGTCGTAGGGGAAACTACATGGGAGTCTCCCAGTACTAAGGTCTAAATCAAGAGAGAGAGACCAACAAATTATGAAACAACTCCTAGCAAAAGTGCCTCGAAGTGCTGAGACCCAAACACTGGTCCAGAGAGAGCTGCAAGAAGGGGAGGATTTGTCCCACAGAGAAACTCCTAGGGTGGAAGGGCCAAGATTTGCACCTAGTCAAGTATGCCTTCCACATTCATAGATGCCCCTAACTCAAGAAGACAAAAAAATCCTTTAACAGCCATGCTATAACGAAAATTTGTGTTCAGACCCATTCGGATGCATTAAACCGAAAAACACATCTCATTGGCCAGAAAAGTCACATGTCCGATTCAGTTTCGTTTTTGAACGAAATTTGTACAGGATCCGAAATTCGGAAACTGAAATTCGGATTTGTGCACAATTGGATGCATTGGGATTCGGAAATTCTGATGTGTCCGAATGTACAAATTTCTGAAAATTCGTCGAACAAAACGAATCACACATGTATAGTAAAAGTCCCATCTCTAACTCTGAGGTCATAGCAGCCTCATCCATACATGTTAGAACTTGATGACATGACAAGAAGATGCAGTATTGCCCAGAAACCTTGTTAGATGCCTCCTAATTTTTTCTGCTAGGGATCCTATAATACTCAGATTAAAGATGAATTTAGTAGAATGTTTTCTGGATAGTACTAGCAGTTCCCTGACCGTTCCTTGCAGGCAGAGGCTGCTCTACATTCTACGTCAAATGTATATTTGATGAAATTCCTTATCCAACTTGTTTTAATCTTATTACTCATAAGAGACTTACCTTGCTTATGGGGTCACTGTTATTTCTTGCAGTAGCTTCCAACACATTACTCATAGCGCTGAACAGATACCTTGCTGTTGTTTCCTTTGATTGATCTTGTTCATTGCTTATTGTTAGGAGGGATTGGCTGACATCTCTCAATACAGACATGGCTTCCACCTTCATGAAAAGATTACATACACAAATAAAAACACTTGGGAATATGCACTTGGATTTCATTTATGAAACTGTCTAAAATCCAGTTGTCCTTTATCAGATCTTTTGCTCTTTTAACCTGACAACATAACTGACAACATAAATAAAAGTCTGATCACTATGAACAGACAGCTGTTCTTCCAGGCACTATCACAAGAGGGAGTTAAAATATAATGTAAGTTAAATAGTAAAAAAATACTGGTGTGAGTACACAATCCTAACCTGAGCTGAGGAAGACAATTCTTCACTTTTCACTGTAATGTCTCTCAGCAGCTCGGACATCTCCAGAGCGGTGTGTAGTGATGTGACATTAACAGTAGAAAGCGCTGTTAACATCACTTCTCGCAGCTGATACAGAAAGAAGAAAACATTTAGCAAATAGTTATGGCTCATTACCTGGTCAAGCATACTAGAATAAACATACTTATTATATTTAGGTTAATTGTAATAGACATATGTTTCATTAAGCACTGCAACTGGGCACAACAAAAATGCTATTACAGAATAAAACATCAAACAGTAGGGGGTGATTTACGAAAGGTAAATAGGCTGTTAGCTTTACAGGGGAATTTGCTTAAATTTTCCATGCATTATTGGGTATTCTTTGCAAATTTAATTTTTACCACATGCACTAAGCTAAGAGAAAATTCCCTCGCAAGGTGCAAATTCCCTCACTAAGTGAACAGCCTATAAACCTTAGTAAATCAACCCCAAAGGAGTAATTTCAATAAAAAATAAACATCAATTAAACCCATTATAAAACTGTTTAGTGGAGGTTCACAAGACCCTAACAAATTGGCAAATGAGAATTCAAGAAATCCAGTATCTAATCAGAATGGTGGTCTGGATGGATGGCCACTGGAGCTGACGCAATCAGAATATAGCTTAAGCTGAGCACATTCTTCCACATGGCAAAACTGCACCTTAAACCTATTCTTGCCAAGTGCAACCTACAGTAACGCTGTGCAGTGCTTCTGGTACTTGAGTATGTTTCACACACTTCACACAAATCCCCCCAAAAAGGTGAAGCAGAGACAGTTTAAATTGTTCTTGACATAAGTGTATCAGTGGCAAAAGGCGAACTCCAAATTAGAATCAAAACATTATTACCCTTATACAACCCACTACCCATAATGCATTTCATGACTCATGGGCCTTTTAATCAGGTGTGATACAAAAGATGAAAACGTACAAAAAGTGTGCTTTCTTTGCAAGTCTGGCAGATAAATCATCTCTGCCCAGTTGTTATTCATTGGCCAGGACAAACTAGCAGACTCTAGCAGGTGCTGGCCAATAGGAAACAGTTGGGCAGAGCTAGCTGTCACTGCTGGCTTCGCCCGTTTTTTTTTTTTTCCTTGATTTCCTATTCTGCTTGGTACCATGGAGGAAAGACATACATTAGTGTGTACTGATCCCACAGAGCTACTAAGGCATCCACTGCACCCGCCGTTGGATACTTTGTTCTGGACACAAGTCTTTCTACCTTCTTGTTGTAATGAGAGGCCAGATGATCCACATATGGCATTCCCCAGCGGTGACAAAGTTGATGAAAAACCTATGGATGGAGAGACCATTCCCCCAGGTTAAGACGTTGTCTGATGAGAAGTCCGTCTGCCAGTTTTCTACTGAAATGTGCACCACTGAAATCGGTGGAACCTGAAGTTCCACCCAATGCAAGATCGAATGTACTTCCATTGCCACCTATATACTCCTGGTGCCTCCCTGGTGATTGATGTATGCTATATCGCCGTGACATTGTCTGACTGAATCTGAATCAGACACCAAGACAGAAGACCAGTCCAGTGAAACAACACCAGACGAATCATCCTCAACTCCAGGACATTGATGGGAAGCTAGGATTCCTCCAGAGACCAACAACCCTGTACAGGCAGATGATCCAAGAAACCGCAACGTCCCAGAAGACTGGCATCCGTCATGACAATATTCTAAGTTATGGGAAGAAATTACTTTCCCATAGTCAACGCAGGGGATGGTAACCACAACGATAGAAACTTCCTGGCTGGGGCAGTCAATCTGAACATCATGTCCAGCAATAGAGGAGACTTGTCCCATGCTATAAGTATGTTCCTCTGTAAAGTCCTGGAATGGAACTGAGTAAAAGGTACCGCTTTGAAGGTTGAAACCATCAATCCCAGTATTCTACTGCAGGTTCTCAGAGAGGAACGTGGATGAGATCGAACCAACCAAACTTGATCCTGCAATTTCAATATTTTGTTCTGAGGAAGGAACACTTGCTTGAAGGGTATTTAACAGAACTAGGGACAAATTCTTGATATTCAGAATCCACCTGAAATCCTCTAAAGTCAGCCGCACTGTCTAGACATTGAGCTCCAAAGTAGGAAGAGATTGTTCTCAAAGTAAAAAGTCGACTAAGTATCAGAAAATCAAAATGCCCTTGTGACAAAAATTCCAGAGTCGGAGCAAAAACTTTTGTAAAAATCCCTTGGAGCTGAAGCCAAAGGAAAAGGAATAATAACACCAGGATCTAACAGACCTTGAACTGCGCAAAAATGTTTCTCCAACGCTGTGGAGACATGGGAATCCAGAACGAAAAGAACTGAGGAGAAGGAGGAAGATGAAAATATAGTCTGAAATTCGAGTTTCCCACGCCTCTGCAAGTTCCATCAGGCTTCGCCCCACCAAATAAAGAAAAGGCAGGAGCAGACCTTCAAGCTACAGTTGACCTTTTTTTTGCCAAGGGTGTCTAAGATGTCTTTTGAAACTGGGAACTCAAGAAACCTTCCAGTTTGTCAGAATTCTTCAGAGCTGTCTTCCTCAATGGACGATAGAGAAATAGGAATTTATATTCCTGAGTTCTATCTAGAGGAGCTACTGTTACATGACCAGCATCAGTCTGGCTATATGCAATAAACTGTGTATAAACCTGTAAGAGAACATGGAATTTGTTCCCCATTGCTTTTTTATTGGATACAAAATCATAAATATGGCATTAAAATGGGTGGAAATTGACCAAACCTCTTTTTTGTTGTCTTTGTGTAGTACACTATTGCCACTCCCCCCTGGGTCTTCCTGATTTAAGACAGAAGACACTGATTTATACAGCTGGATTAGTGATCGGCTTGCACTCCCATCCTTTACAATGTAAGCTGACCTATCAGATAGGAACGATGTTAGACTCTCAGGGTCATTGTGTCCATATGTAACCTGTAGAAATAATAAACATTGATATATATCTTTTGTTATAAGGAAAAACTAAGCAAATGTAAGTTTTTTTTGTTTATTTTCTATCTTAAATGCTTAGTTTCCAGCTCTCACTAAAAAAAAAAAAGTTATTTCTACGTTTACATGAACTGCTTACCTTAACATTAATGGTTGTGCTGACAAAATCACCAAAGTTGTTGGTGATGGTAACTGTGATATTTAGAACAAAGTCATTTTCTTCTTCTCCAAGCGGTAAATAAGCAGAAGTGAGTTCTCCATCTGGACCACAGTAAAGCTGAGATTCTAGAACAGATAAATAAAAATCTTTGTGACATTTTGTGTGTGTGTGAAGGCAGAATTTGCCTATCTGTTCTCCTCTCTGTTAAAGTGACACTAAACTCAGGAAATAAATCTTAATCTTTCCCATGGTCCTTGTGTGTGTTGTAAAGTATCCACCGCTCCAAACTCACTCCTTTGACAGACTATAATTTCAATACAAATGATTAAACTAAATGTGAGATTGTAGTCTATCACAGTGGCGGTACTACCAGGGTCGCAGAGGTTGCGGCCGCGACCAGGCCCTGGAGTTCCGCCACTTGGAGGGGGCTCAGGGCAGGAGGAAGGGGCCCCTGGTGACCGCTGATTACCGGGATATTTATTATCCCGGTAACCGCTAATGTCAGTCCCGGGACCTCTTCCTCCTGTCCTGGGCCCTACATGCTTCACGCTGCTCCCCTCACCTGGTTCCGGGCGCAGCGTGAAGCATCATCCAGCCGGGCAGCAGCCAATGAGTGGGAGCGGTGTAATCCCCGCCCCCTCATCACACAGAATTGCTGCCCAGTGCCGAATAGAGCTGCTGCGGACACGAAGGGGGAGACAGGGAGCTGGAAGCATGAAGGAAGGTGACATGGGGTCCGGGAGCGGAAAGCTGGGGACATGAAGGGGGAGATAATGGGGAGCTGGGGACATGAAAGAGGAGAGTGTTTTTTTTTGCACAAATAAGCTAAATTTTTTTAAATAGTTCGGGTACTTTAATGTATTTTTAAGATTTAACCCCTGAGTTTAGTGTCGCTTTAACAGAGAGGAGAACAGATAGGGAATGCTGCTTCCCACAGGACCCACTATGTAGAAATTCATCATCTGACCATTAATACACTTGTCGTTGTAAGCACTATATCAGAATGACATCCCTGTAGTTCCAAACCTAAATCTAATATGATCCTGGGCTCCCCTGTTGCTGAGGGGTGTGCATTTTGTAATGGTGTTAAACTGAGGAAGTGTCATGCATTTTTAAAAATTAAATCATTCTTAATGTACATCCACATACCTCAATGTGCCAAACAAACCATGCTCAGCTTCAGATGGATCTAAATTAGCAGATAAGTGACTGTTATAGAATATTGTACATCTGCACCTTGCTTGCCTCCTGACCCACTCTGTAACTGCCACAAACGTAATTTTGTTATGCGACTGCAGACAAAAGGTCACAGCTCAAAAATAGAGAACTTTATTCAGAATTCTCCCAGTTCCATGTAAAGTTTAAAGCCACGCCATGCTTATTAAGCAGTTATTTCGAAGTTATCGCTGAAACAGGATTTACAATTTTTTTAAGTGGCATCATCATGGCTGCAATTAGGTAAATTGTTCCATCATCATAATCCGTGTATTATTAATTATTGTAACATAATTAAAATTTTTGCTTTGCTATAGTCTTTTTAAAGCATTAATAGTTTGGTGTTTTAAGGTGAGGAAGCCAGAGAATTCCTTGCTTGCTTCAGCTATCATAGTATAAGTAAACAAGGGAAATTTACCTAGCCCTGGAATTATTTCCCCCTATTGCACGTTGGCTGCATGGCTGTGTGATCTGTGAAGCTGGGAGGATATATGGACATGCATCACAGAAAATGTGGGAGATATGATACAGAAAACAGTGCATGCTGGGAAGGTGACTTTGAGTAGTATATATGTGTCTGCTATTGACTAGATCGAAAGTGCCTGTTGCAAAGGCTTGTGTGTATATGGTATGCAATGCATTATGCAGGTGTTTGTGTGTTCAACTAATCTTATACCAATTTATACTGGGATGTTGTAAGAAATGATTAGTAACACCACAGTACACAGTAGACTGGCTGCATTATGGCAGATGCACATAAATCATGTCAAGCTAATCTTTAGGAAACAGAGACAGCATTTGCAGACAGTGAAAATGTGGGGGGCTAAAATGTGTCTTTTGGGGGATTATTTGAGTGAAGGTTAAGGGATATCTTCTGTCAAAGAATTTTAGCTCTGACAAATAGCCCTCCATACTATCTAACGTTTTGGTGTGCTGTTCAGCCCAGTTCTTTATCTGTTAAAACCAGCCTACCCGACCCTTATGCACCTATAAGACTACTGACAGCTCTGATGCTAACTGTCACAGTTGACATAGCTGTCAATGCACTTTGTAAACTAATAATGCCAGGGGCAATAGAGAAGTAGCTGGAAGAGTCCACCACAATTTTGCTGCAAGGCCCTGAGATTTGTAGTTACATTCTTTCAGACAAGGCTAAAAAGATCACAAAAGTTCCTATAGCCTAAGAGGTTTGGAGTTTAAAGGAGAACTATGAGGTGAGTGATTTCCACTCATCCTTATAGTTAGAGCCGACCTTTGACAACGAAGCTGGCGCAGGTCAGTTCTATTGATCGGGACGTGAGCAGAAACATGCAGCCGATCTGCTCACTTCCCGATCGTCTCCCTGCAGTGAGCGGTGATTATCAGTCATTATCCTCCAGCGGTGAGTGGAGAAACAGGTGGGGGAGGGGGCGGGCACAGCTGGTTCTGCCTCTAGATAGGCAGAGAACGCTGTCACTCACACAGCTGGGTGGATATCGATAGTATTGTCAGGATCCATCCCGGCTGCGGCGCTCTCAGTATATCGCGGGCAATAGCATGCTATATACTGAGCTTTGGGTCATGGGAGGACGTTAGTATATGTCCTCCCGTGACCTTAATGAGAACTATGGGAAAAAACACTTACCCCATAGTCCTCTTTTAATGTTCATACACATAGCAGGAGCCTTTTCAGGGTTTTCAGGGGAGGAATTTATCTTATGTACATTACAGTATGTAAATATGATTTTTACCTGTGTGAGGAAACCAGAACCCACATACATATATTGAGAGCACATTAAGACTCCATACAGGTAGTGTTCCTGGTGTGAAACCTGTGTGTGTGTTTTGTATTCCTAGCTGATCATAATATATTCATCAGTGACGTCACAAGGGGGGTGCGGCCCGCAGCCAGGTGACACCATTGGAGGAGTGACACCAAAATGACTGACAGTCATTTTTGTGTGACCCACTCTAAAAAGTCGGGCACTCAGTCATGGACCGAGAGCCTGACAGTGTCAGGAGAGAGGAGGGGACCCGGCAGCATACCTCATCCCACCAGGCGTCAATTAGATGACCACGCATGCGCGATGACGTCATCGCGCATGCATGCATGTGACGTCACGTGCATGCGCGATGACAACACTGCGGGGTGTCACCCATTCTCAGCTCCGGGTGACACCAGGCCTCGGGACGCCCCTGATATTCATCATGCTGAAAAGCACTTAAATTTGTTTAATTTGCCATATCTAGATTTCAAACACATTGGGGTTGATTTACTAAAGGCAAATAGGCTGTTCACTTTACAAGGGAATTTGCACTTTCTAAAAGGAATTTTCCCTAAGCTCAGTGAATGAGGTGAAGCTCTGCTGACTCCATCATCCAATCATGGCAGGCAAAACTATTGTTTTTTTGTTTTCCTCCACTACTACTGTTACCTTATTTTCCTTGCTGATGTTTGGGTATTTCAAAGGAATTTTCACCACATTCACTAAGCTTAGGAAAATTTTCCTTGCAAAGTACACAGCCTATTTGCCTTTTATAAATCAATCCCATAATGTTGTCCTTTGCAGACTTTCAATATTAAACCAGTTTGCCATGATCCCACAGTATACCACACACAATTACAGGCTTGAAAAGATACATGGAAATTAGAGTTAAAGTGCCATTAAACCCTCAGATTTTTTAACATAAAACAATACTGTAATGTGTACCTTACTGTAATCCATGGTTGTTTCCCTTCTCTTTGCTGCTCTTCCTTTTAAATCTGTATCTGTTCTCATGCTGGGCAGAACTTCTGTTTTGCAGCAGACTGCCTTGTCTCTGGAATGGATGACTGACAGACAGTCATTTTTGTGTGACCCACTCTAAAAAGTCGGGCACACGGTCATGGACCGAGAGCCTGACAGTGTCAGGAGAGAGGAGGGGACCCGGCAGCATACCTCATCCCACCAGGTGAACGTCCCCTCCTCTCTCTGCCGGCGTCCATCACCAAGATGGCCGCCAGCAGGCGTCAATTAGATGACCGTGCATGCGCGATGACGTCATCGCGCATGCATGTGGTGACGTCACGTGCATGCGCGATGACATCACTGCGGGGTGTCACCCGTTCTCAGCTCAGTGTGCAGGTTTGCAACCTGAGCCAGCACTACGGGAAGAGGCAGCAAAGGGAAGTTCTCCCCCAGCATGAGAAGACATGAGGATTTAAAAGGAAGAGCAGCAAAGAGAAGGGAAACAACCCTAGATTACAGTAAGGCACACATTACAGTATTGGTTTATTTTTAAAAAATCTGAGGGTTTAATGTCACTTAATAATATAGAGGGATGATCATTTCTTGTAGGTAACACTTACTTGGCTTGGGGAAGAAACAATAGGTGAGGGAAATGCGATCATCTGTAGCACAAGACTCAGTTTGATCACAAGGCTGAAGGCAGGAGATTCGGAAACTGGTGAGTACAGAACCTTCATCTGGATACACTCTGCAGCTTGGCACTTCTGGTGGAGGCACGGTGCTGACCACTGTCATTTCCTCACCATATTCATGGGTGGTTCTGGCTAAAAAAAAATCCACAAATGTTTTTTTATTTTTACATTTGTTTTACTTATGGACATTCCATTACAGTATATGCCATACCTCACAAACAGCACCGGGGCTATATTTCTATGAATAGAATTAAATTTTCTAAGACATTAATTACAACATGATGAACAGGATAAAACAGAAACACAACACTGCACAACATAATAAAATGACTACATATTGACAGCTTCATAATTTAGCAGCCATTTCTTATCATAGTAATTTTCCCATTTTCTAGGACGGTCACAGTGATTTTCCTTAATATAGAATTACATATAAATGACAACAGAGTTATGAAGAGCTATTAGGTGTGTACAATGGTAAAGAAGAAACTCTGGGGAGAATTAAACGTAACCCTTGCAGTGGGGCTACCCCCGCAGGGCACGGGTTCCCCTTCAGCTCGGTAGAACACCTGGTGCCCGAGGTGCAACCAAACAATGAAGAGAAACTTCCGTAGGATGAACAGCAGCTGGACAAAGTGAAGGTAAAACAATGTCTTCATTTAAATGAAAAGTTCAGACTACCTTGGGGTAAAGGAAACCTCCAGTCTTAAAACAACCTTGTCCCTATTAAGAAACAAAAAAAGCCTCTCTACGAGGCAAGGCAGATAAATTGAAAAACCCTTCTAGCCGAGGTAATGGCCACAAGAAAAGCAACCTTTTTGGATAACAAGGGCAAAGAAAAATCTCAAACAGGTTCAAAAGGCATTTTTGTAGAAGAGATAAAGCCAAGTTTAAGTCCCACAGAGGAAGAGAAGACTTAACAGGAGGAACAACCCATGTAACTCCCTGAATAAAAGTAAAAAGGACAGACAAGGCAGATATCTGACCCTTAAAGGTACTGAATGCTAACTGTTTGTAAACCCTTGATTGAAGGAAAGACAAAATTCGCAAAAGATAAAAAGTCTATCGGGAAAACCCCAAGGACTCCAACAAAAATAAGCCTTCTAAGTAGAGTAGAAGATCTATGAGCCTTCATAAATTTAAGTAGAGTAGAAGATCTATGAGCCTTCAGCATAGTCAGGATAACAGTATCTGAAACTCCTCTGTCTTTTAACACTTAGGTTTTAACAGCCTGGCCAATAAAGCCAGCGACTGAAAAGCAGGATAGAAAATTGGTCTCTTAGATAACACATCTGGTTGATCTGGAAGGAGCTAGGGACAACAGACAAACCAGATTGGCATTCCTCGCCCTGTGAGGCCAATCTGGAGTGACAAGAAAGGCAAACGCTATATGTGAATGGAGCCTAATTCACGATTAACTAGTCTCACGCTTTTTTTAATGGAGATTAGGTCCACTTTGATGCACTTTTCCTGTGGTCTCATTAATTTATATGCACACCTCATTTTTTGGCAAATCCTTCTAATCTAGAGACGGGGTACATTACAACACAAATACTATAACCTACAGTTCTATTTATAACAATTAAATCTTCATTCTTGTTAATATAAAGAAAAATGGTCAAAAACAACATAACTTACCTATCAGCTTTATTCTGAAAGCCCCATGTGATTGGCTTTGTAGAAAAGTGCTGTTTAATACAAGGGTGGATGTGTTACTTTGTAATAAAACCAGAGAGCTGGGCCTAAATTCACGCAGGCTGCACACAGGAGGAAGGGGCACCGACTGTAAAAAAAAAAAAGGATTTTTTAAGCTGTGCTATAAGATACATGAAGTTTGAGTACTGTAGCCAATAAGCAATTGTGTCAGTTAGTTTAACAATGCATTATTTGTATCTATACCAAAAGTTACATAGCATTATTATTATTTTAGAATAATTACAACCAGTAGACGAAGAGCAAATTATACTTTACATTGTCCTCCAACAGGTATCCAACCAGCAAGGACTTAAAATGGAATTATATGCAAAATACAAAATTGGGTATAACAGTAGTTTTTGTTTTTTGAGCCCCTCTGTAGTTTAGTTTTATTACCGATCAAACCTGCTAGTAGAACAGTTATTTTTCTGGTTTGCTATTTTGGTATTTGGGTGACAATGCTGTTCGTTCTGCAGTAAAATCACACATCAGTGTTTTCACACTGTAAGTATGAGACAAACAAAATGAAGCCTAACCCCAGCTAACACTAATATAAACACATCATAAATAAAAGCTGCCTTTTCAAAACACCCCTGCCAGTGAAATATTGTTTATTCCAAACCTTGTAACTGCCATTTTTCATAAACAGTTTGTCCTTTAAAAAAAGCGTACAGGCAGGATGGTAAGTCACAGCAATAAAAGATGATTTTTGACCGGTTGTTACAGGGGGGCTACAATATGTACTTTGTTATTCACATTGTTAGATGAAAGCATATCTAAACCTAAGAACAAAAAGTCGGAGGCCTTGGGTCGGGGCAGAGGCTGGAGTGTGGGAAGAGTTTCCCTGGGACTTGGGTATGGAAGAGGCCTGTGTTGTTTGCCAGAGGAGAAGAACCAGAGAAGCTGATGTCTGCTGGAGGTGCCTGGAACATAGAGGACCTCTGGAGCATGACTGGTGTCTCTCCTGCTGAGGATCCGTACTCATGTCCTGCTCATCTGTTACTTCAATTGCTATTTGCTGTAGTACACGTGGATCTACCCTGAGATGCTAAAGAGGTGTGGTGAGTCTGGAGTCTTTGTCTGTTACACCCTGGATGTCTAGTATCCCTATACCCTCTCTCCCCAGTATGAAGATGTTTAATACAAGTTATTCAGCATTGCATTATTGGAGTGGACATCAGCTTTGTGAGCACTAGAAGAGGGCGGTTAAATGCTTATGGGGCAGCTGAAGACCAAATCCCCTAGACCAGGGGTATGCAACCTTGGCTCTCCAGCTGTGCTGAAACTACAAATCACATCATGCTTCTGCCTCTGGGAGTCATGCCTGTGGCTTGCAATGCCTTATGGGATCTGTAGTTGCAGCACAGCTGGAGAGCCAAGGTTGCCTACCCCTGCCCTAGACAGACTAGTGATGACCCAGTTATTTCAGCAGCTCCGTAGGGGTTGAGCGCTACACTTTGTTTCCCTTTATTTTCACCTGGGGATCCAGCCAGTACCACACGTCCTGTTTTAAGCTGGCCATAAACAGATAGATTATATGCAGATTTTCTATAGTCAGATGAAAAAAGTGCAACAGATTCCTCCATCTATGCCAAACTGTGTGGTCCCACTGGGCCAAGCTTCAGTACCTTGCTAGTCGGCCACGCTGGCTGTCAAAACACCTAAACAATGCCTGCATCCAATTAGATTGTTCAGGTATTTTGAGAGCCAGCGGGGCGGACTAGCAAGATACTGAAGCTTGGCCCAGTGGGAGATTCCTCCATCCAAACAGTTTAGAATAGAAGGAGGAATCTGTTGCACTTTTTTCATCTGACCATAGAACATCTGCAGATAATCTATAGGTGTATAGCCAGCTTTAGTGTGTCTTCACTGTATGGAGATGCAACGGAGCCACCCTTGGAGAGCAGCATTGTCAACCTGCAGAGAGGGTCGTGTTAGATGTCCTAGCAGATTTAGATGGACTTGACCAATAAATCAAATCCAAACTCCAGATACATTTTTTTTGCATTTACAGCCACAGATTTTCCTTTTCCTTTTGAAATAAATATTTTACATAAATTAATAAAAGCTGACTATTGTAAGCACCCCTACCAGTGTTAAATGGGTTGACCCCCCCAACCCTCTAAATGACACTTGTACTGGACAGCCAGATCACCAGGTGGAAAAAAATCCTCAAAAAGAAAACTAAGCCTCCACATCTAAGGACTGGTAAGCTGGAATATATTACATTTTTGCTTTAGAATTTAGATACACTTTAAGACTAGCATCTGTTATTACTCTGATGCTAACAACTGAAAACTAACCTCATTGAAGTCGTTATGAAGGTACCAGGTATATGTAGCTGCACTGCAGTTTTCACAGGAAGCATGGAGCACAATGGCCTCAGAAAGATTAATATTCTTGCAGTTACTCAGGCAGCTGAAACAAAAGCATTATCTGTAAATTAAATCCCCCTGCATGATGATAATATGAAAGAAATCCAAGCAAGAAAGCAAATTACGTGTAATACTGATGGAACTGAATACGATGTTAAGTACTGTACATACAAGCAGTATATACAGTATACTAGTTCCTGCTGACTAGTTTGCTAAGAAAAAGCACTGCTCAGCATCTACATGAGATGAGATAACATACTGTTAGCGCCACATAGGTCTCTATGTATTTTGTATTTTCAATATGAAGCTAAGACCAAGAAAATGGAGACATGACCTCAAACTAGAGGGAAGAAAGTTAAAAACTAACCTAGGAAAGTATTTTTTACCAAAAGAGTAGCTTGGAACAGACTTCCAGCAGCGGTAGTGAATTCCTCAACAATAAGTGTATTTACACAGACATAGATCAAACAGACAAAAAGGTTAAAAAAGAAAAAGAAAATCAGAAAGGGGCAGACTCAATGGACCACTTGGTCTTTTTCTTACGTCACTCTTCAATACAAGCAGTCCGTGGGTTACGAACAAGATTGGTACTGTACGTTTGTTCTTAAGCTGAATTTGTATGTAAGTTGGAACAGGTAAATGTTTTAAGTGTAACTCCGGCCCCAATTTTTTGTAGTTTTGGATAGCATAGGGAAGGGTTTACCCCATGTAAAGTTTATTTTGCTGTGTGTGCCCCTGTTCAGATTATTTCAACTCACTTTCCGTCCTTGTGACAATTGGATTTTTACAATTTTGGGTTGTCTGGAAACAAGGATTGGTGATAAAGCTTCTGTGGAGACACCTTTTTCCCATGATAACTCTTACAGGAGTGAATTTCCCTTCCTAGGGGTAGATTTCCTCTCACTTCCTGTTGTCTCAAGGACACGAAGTGAGATTAAAGGACAACTATGGGGTCAGGGCTTTTCCCCATAGTTCTCTTAAGGGTCACAGAAGAACACAAACTAGCGTTCTCCCTTGAACAAAAGCTCAGTATACCGCGAGCTGCAGCTCGCGATATACTGAGACGCCGCAGCCGGGACGGATCCCGACAATACTGTCTGGATCCACCCAGCTGCGGGATTGACAGCTGGCTCTGCCTATCCAGAGGCAGAGCCAGCTGTGCCCGCCCCCTCTCCCGTCCGTTTCACCAGTCAGCGCTGGAGGATCGGACAGGGGAGGGGGGTGGAATCCCTGCAGGGAGCCGTGAGTGACACTGCTCTCTGCAGGGATAGATCGAGAAGTGAGCGAGCGACCCGATCTACTGAGCCGACCTGTGACAGTTTCATTGTCACAGGTCGGCTCAGATTATGAGGCTGAGTGAAAATCGCTCGCCTCATAATTCTCCTTTAAATCTTTCTAATGAGGATAAAGACAGCAGCAAAAACCTCACGGTGAGCAGGAAGAAGAGGTGGGCACCCCTCATCTGCGTGTCTAACAAGAACCAACTTCCTGTAATGTACGTACAGTACTACAAACCAGACCCAAAAAGGCGGGCACTCCTCGTCAGCACGAGCACAGTAACATTACAACTACCCCTGCTGTACATCATTAATAGCCTCCATTTGTAAGTAGGAGTCGTATGTAAGCAGGGCCGGATTTACTCTCCCTGCCGCCCCAAGGCCAGGTTCTGCGATGCGCCCCCCGATTTTTATTTATCATATTTACTTTTTTATAATTTTTTATGTTATTATTGTTTATTTTTTATAATTATTTTCTTATTTTTTAATAATTTGTTTCTTATTATTTTTTACTTTTTAATCACCTTTTTCTTTTTTTATTTAATTATT